CCCCCCCCCCCCCCCCCCCCTCCCGTCGCTTACTTTTATTTTCTATTTTCACCTCCTCCCTATTTTTCACTTTCTATTCTCACCTCGTCTTTGCTGGTTTCCCCTCTTTCTGACCTGTACTGCAAAATTGTATGGAAGGTTGGGAAAGTTTTTCTGCTTCTCTCCCACTTCTCGCCAGTTCGAACATCATTAAAAATAAATGCGGGTGCGACTCGTGGATGCGCGAAGTCGAACCGCGCCATGATATGGAACAACGAAGCTTTTGAGTTGTTGCCTAACAACCAACCCTGATTAGTTGAGCTCAATTGTCATAAACCGCCAAGCCGGAAAGTGGCATTTGACAATTAGCCGGAAACGTCATTCAAGAAAACTTTCTCTCAGTTCATCCTACTGCAAAAAATAATCGCCGCAATCTATGATACCCTGACTGCGTACTATCAAGAAGTATTTCACCATCACGATGTATTTGTAGCGGAGCTCTGGCGGCCCGAAGGGCCGCAGAACGGAGCACCATACTCACAGATTTTCTCTAGGTAATCATGGCTAGCGGTATTGCTCGTGGGCGCGTACGCACCGCGACGAGGTCGGGCAACATGGAGACCAAGCCTTGGTTTATAGCTGTCAAAACAAGGTATCCGCTGAGCAGTAACACGTGACCATATCGCCGACTCAACTTAAGAGCTCATCGAGGACACGCGGTTTTCTTTTGATCAGATGCTTGTTTTCGACTGGATCGCAGGCTCAAGCCAGGTTAACTCATGTTAAATTCATATCAGGACCTCCGCCTTTAGGCTTGGCTAAATGTATATATTAAGGCTATTTGCCGCACTGATCCTTCACCCGACGCCTCGGTCGCGTAGAAAAATTTTCTACTGCTCGAAACTTGCGGCTTCGCTGCTCGCGCGAAATCCATACAAGGTAGACCGCCCCGCTGACTATCAAAACCAGTGCTCCATGTTAATTTTATTGAATTTTAAACTCACTAACTACATCATCATACATTACCACGGGGTTTACAATTTTCCTTTAGTTAACCAAGCTCACTTCATGTTGAGCTTTGTTGTCTCCTGATTTGGAAGAAAGTGGAGCAGATTTCGTGTACCTAATCATTTCCGGCAAAGTTGTAAAAAGGTTAAAAATTGTTACAGAGAAATGCCGGCTGAACAGCATAAGCTGCGGAAACTACTGCGGAGAGTACTTTCAAAAAGTACTTATAAAAGGCCATTTTTATTCGCAGGCGTTGAGATAAGTCTGCATGGAATCATCAAATGCTTTCATAAATGGTGGATGATGAGCTCGTGCCTTAGTTCCGGTGAACTTGCTTGTGTAGCGCTGATCTCTGTAAGTCGTGATGTTCACCGTTTTGGATTTGTACCACGCGTGTTGTAATTCTGAGCAATCCAAGTCGAAGCCATAGTTTGATTCTTTAACAAGATCAGCAACGTAAGCAGTTTGGTAATCAATGTTGTCGTGATGATCCTTTAAAGGACACATTCTGGAAAGAGGAAAAAATATAGTCATGAGCTAAGGAGACTGGGGATTTAAAAAGAACATGTCGGTAGACGACCTTAAGCAGGAGAGACAGACAAACAGACAAACACACAGACAGACAGACAGACAGACAGACAGATAGATAGATGGATAGATAAACAAATAGACAGACAGACAGATAAACAGGTTTACCCTTTAGAGAGATAGACAGACAGACAGACGGTAAGATAGACAGATATACAAATAGACAGACGGACAGACAAACAGATAGACAGAGAGACAGACAGATGGAAGAATAGACATATAATACGGACCAACAGATAGAAAGGTAAGCAAATAGAAGACAGACAGACAGACAGACAGACAGATCAACAGACAAACAGACTGACTGTCTGACTAACTGCATTGCTTACTGATTTTCAAGAAAGCCACCACAATCAATTTACAAATTATTTCAAAAAAAAAATACTCGTGTTACAAAAATTACTAATGTCACCAGGAATTTTGGTGACATTACCGAGTAATGGTTGGTCGGAAAGGAGTTGTATTCTAGCTTGCTGTTGTTTTTTCGATCCGTCATCTTCATATTTCTAAAGAACCCCCATGCTATCAATTCGGCCGACTTCTAAGAGCCAGATTTGGAGCCCGTCACGTTGGGTTCTGGTTAACAGGGTGTTCCCCGGCTACAAAACCTGAAAATTAGGCTGAACAGAATGATACATCCACCTGCTAACTAAACGATGACGTTACCTGGCAAGCCATTTCTGGCAGTCACTCTCCATGGTTTGCTTGTCTGGAAGGGAAAGCTTTCCTGTGATGTAATCCACCGCCCATTTGGCTTGTACATCGAACATGATGAAGGTATAGTATTGAGCCTGCATTCCCACGTACAGAAGCTTGCTGTTTCCTCCCTGGGTCCAGCAAATGCCCTTGTAGAGTCCCATGAGGTACAGGTTAAGAACGGTCTTCAGGCGCAGATCATCTTCAAGAAACGGGAAGGAATAACGATACCCTGTGCACAAAATGATGTCGTCAACTTCTGTTGAGGAGCCGTCTTTGAAATGGATTGTGCTACCTTCGATCCTGGTCAACAGGGGTCTTTCTGTTATCTCAGGGGGAAAAGGAAAACCCGTGGGCTTTGTTTGCCAAGTGCAAACGATGCTTTTCGCACCATACTTGAGACACTGGATGGCGATGTCTTCTGCAGATAAGCTTGAGCCTACCGCGAGAACGTTCTTGTCCTTAAAGTGAGAGGCATTCCGGAAAGAGTGCGAGTGTAAAACCCGGCCAGAGAACTTGTCTATTCCAGGAAATGAAGGGATGTTGGGAACAGAGAAGTGCCCAGTTGCAACGATGACATTATCAAACGTTTGAACAGGAAGCACCCGGTCTTCGGAAAGGTTTTTCACAACCACTGAGAAATCGTCGGTGGCGTCGTTGTAGGTCACATGACGGACAACATGGTTGAAGGAAATCCAAGGACGAAGATTATTTTTGGACCATCGACCTGGAAAAAAGGAAAGTGAAATCAATAAATTAGAAACAGCGAGCACTGTTTTCTACTCCGAAATAGACTTCGCTCGCTGTGAGTTTTATTGTCATTTTCTGGCCACACGGGTTAGTCAGAACAAGTCTCTGCTATATATAGACAGATCTATTGATTCAGTTGAGGCCTTGAGCTACCGTATTTTTATTTCAAGCTTTCGCCGTTCTACGGCATCATCAGGGAATGAAAGAAAATATTCAATAGTGCGTGATATAAAAGTCGTGTAGGTGACGCGAATGATTAGAATATATAATAAGGACAATGAGTGTAAATATGGTGATGGAAATATTCGATAATATGGACAATCGCTAGTCAGTATAAGTGACAAAGCACTTCAAAATAAGGCAGTTAGCTTATGTTAAATTGCCGAAAAATACTTACCTTTCAGGTAATCGTACAGCACTTCCCGAGGCTGGTAGGATGAAATTGGTTTCCCAAAATGCTCGTCAAAGGTATAGTCGGGATATTCCAAACCTTCCTTAGGACCATTGGACCACAATCCTTGGTACATACTTCCATGAACAGGTTCGCCATATTGATCAGTGTCTAAAGATATTTTTTAACGAATCAGTGATCAATTAAAAAGCTTCAGGTTTAATTCTACTTTTAAATCATTGATCCGTCTTCCTAAAAGAGCTCGGCCAATTGTATCTCAAGTACTTCCAACAAGAATCGTGTGGAAGAATCAGCACATCTACAATGTCAACATGGCATGACCAGTAGCGACATGTACGCAATGGTGACCTGGTTATTTCTATTGGCATGCTCGATTATGAGGTCGATGTGAGTACGTTAACTATCTTAAATCTGAATTTCAACCTATTATGCAAAAATAGAGTAATTTTTTCGGTCAATTAAGGCCAAACTCAGGATTTAATAGATCGTTTTCATTTTCATTTCAAAGATGGAAACCAAGGTTGCATGACTCGGTCGATCTCTTAGCCGAAGTATTGCCGCCATGTTGCGCGACGCCGCCGCCGTCGTCATAGGACGCTCGGCCCTGCGATCCATGCCACTAGCCATGTTGACCATGAAAAAGAGAGATGCATAGTTTCCTGTTTCTAGACATGTATATGGTTCTGTTCTTATAGCTATGGTGCTCTGTTCTACGCTACTCTCCTTTACTTTTTCAAGGTATGGGACTCAAATCGCGCACTCGCAATGCAAGTGGCGGACGGACGGACGGACGGACGGAAGGTCTCGTGAGAACCCAAATCTTTTAGATCGATCGGTTACCAAATTTTCTATGTTATGGGGCTCCGCTACTAACTTTTGAGGTTGTCGCGTGCACTGTTACGCTTTATTCCAACAACCTTTCTCGAAACAGCTGTATTCATCCTTTGATGGAAGAAGCGGACGTTAAGAATACTACTGACCAGTCTCCCAGGAGTATTTCCAGAGTCCTCCCCAGTCTGATTGCTTGTCAAAGCACGCTATTTCTGGAATTTCTTTTCCTTGTGTCTTCAGTTTATTGAAATGATACAACACTGACATGCCACTGGGTCCAGCTCCAATCACACAAACACGCTTCAGTTGAGGCATCTTCGATTTTCAATCCTTTTCCTGCCAGAAATATGTGATAGACCTGGTTACAAAACGTCGCGCGAGAGGCAGGACACAGCACGAGAGTGGAGAGCATCCTCTTTCATGAACAGCTAACAATCGGGCCTTCGAGAAAGCCTTGTACGGTCATATTGCTGCTGTTCTTAATTTATTGTTCGCAAAGCCAAACCAAAATGCGTCAGTAGTCCAACCCGGTTTATTTTCAAAAATAATCTAGTAAAGATTCAGTTACATCACCCACAAGTTAACAAATTGACGTCAGTTTTTCATGCGTCTGTCCTGTTATTGATCATGAATTTCGTCATAACATTGTCAAAGTAGCTGTGGATCTACGAGGCGATAGCCGAGTTGATCCGCAGAGTACTTTGACAATGTTATGACGAAATTCATTGTCAATAACAGGACAGACACATTAAAAAATGACATCAATTTGTTTTTTACGATAACAAATTGTCCACCCTTGCTCGTTGACACATCGCATAAATTATAAATTCATGTGTCTGCCCGCTTATTGACCAAAAAAAAATTAGCCAATGAGCGCGCGAGAATTTCTGCAGTTATCGTAAAAATCAAAATCGATCAAAGAGGGATTTTACGCTAGCCAGATGTGATATGAAAGAGTACCATCAATGTCTTAAACTGTGGAGTACGACAACTGGAATATACAAAAATGAAGGAATTCTGTATGTTTGATTTCGTACAAATCTCAAAAACATCTCAAATGATACTCTTTGCATAATCATAGTGAATGGACCGACAGATGAACACTATTTTGATGACATTGCACCACTGAGTATCAAAATGTGATAAGTGAATAAAGATAGTGAATTTTAAATGTGTCTCGAAGTTTTGTTTATAGACCCGCGAAAGTTTTGTTGGTTTTTTTCTCGCGATCTTAAGAACGAGTCTTTTTTCAATTTTTGATTTTTAGTGCTTTTTCAATAATCTCTGAAACGACTCAAGAGAACGACTTGATACGTTAACCATACGTACTTAATAATTCAAACAGTTTTATTCCAAAGTTTTATTAATATTGATACAGTGGAAAACTTTTAAATTTATCGTTGAAGGAGACTCTTCAAGCAACGAGAAAGATGCCTTGTAAGAGGTCTTACAAATTCACGATTTACAAAATTGCACTAAAATAATTCCATCTGTGTTTACTGCATTGTGTTGTAATCGACAGCACCAAGGGCGGATCTAGGGGGAGGCCGGTGCAAGAAGTGCACACCCCCCCTCCTGAGATGAAACCTTCTTCTTCATATTCGCTTTTAAAATTTGTTTACCTCACCAGTCTGTTACACCATTCCTTAGTGGTGTCCTCCCTCCTAAGAAAAATCCTGGATCCGTCCCTGCGCAAATTGTTTTCAGTACTTCACCTTTGTGTTCAAATTTTTGCACCACAGAAATGCAGTACACAATGGTTACAATATTTTTGCATATTTTTTTTACACCCCTTTCTTAATCGTTAAAGTGAATCAATTTTAGTGAAACTTGGGAATAAAATTTACTTCATTATCAAGCAGGTGTGGCGAACATTTCCAAAAAATCTATTAATCCGTTTTCAAGATTTTTGAAAAAGCGCTCAGCATTTTAAAAATTTGCCCGAAATGATAGTGTGAGTGACGTTAAGAAAAAGTTATGTTTTCGAGATCGCAAAAATGAAACTCAGCAAGACTTTAATGCTTTCAAAATACATAACTTCAAGGCACATTTTGGTATCATTTAGAGCAATTTAATTTCATCAAAACAGTACTCAACTGCCGGGCCATTTATACCCTGCGAGACAGAGATCGCCTTCTCTCTAACCTCGGCTCGCCGCAACTGCCGGATCCTTTGATGAGACGCCGTCCACAATATCAGGGACGCAGAAATTAAAAATACTGGTTTTTGACAAGTTTTAACCGGTTTATGACTTACGTGCGGTTGCGATCAGAAGTTCCCTCTGGTCTCTCACCAAGCAGATGGAGAAGACTCTGCTCGCATGGTAGTCGAAGTCAAACTTTCGGGATTTTTTCGGTCTGGTATATTCTACTTGACATACACCACAGTTTAAGATATTGGTATGAACGACTTTTTTTATATCACCTCTGGTTCGTGCAAAATTCATGTTTTACCGAATTTCAACTGGTTTTGTGTTACATGATACCAAACTTTAATCCATTTCCAATCACTGATATTGTTTTCATGCGACCGGTAAAAAAGTGTTTGAAAATACTTAGCATGGTCCTGAAATACCTGTATCGAGTCACCATAAACTTTAGATCTAGATACCATTAGAATGCTGCCTTGATAGTTATCTGGCATATAGCATTGCTCTAAGTCAGCAAATGAAATCTAACAGCCGTCGACAAACCAGAACAAAAGCCAAACGCAAGCAAACCGCAGCAAAAGCTAAATGCTAAACATGCCTCGGCTACAAATGATCTCAAAATAATCCTGCCTTCAAAAACGCCTCACTTGAAATATACCTGGAATATTCTATTGCAATCTGGCCTGTTTTTCCAAATTAACTTAAATACTTGACTTTTAAATACTACAAAGTACATCTCTTGTATTGCGTGCGCCTTCGGCACTCTAAGATTCTATGGTATTGTAACTGCATATTCGAGGATAAAATGCTCTGGATATTTTCGCTTTAGCGCAGTGCTTAAATCCTCGGGGTAGCTTAGCGTAAAGTTTTCTCAGACTTCTTATACCTTAAGTTTGCGAAAGCCTTCAAGCTTCAGGCAGGTCCGTGCGATCGATATAGAAACAGCTAAAGGCAAAGAATGTGTTCGATAATCATATAACAAGCCTTTCAAATCAATTGACATCTGTCCCGCCCCTTTCTTAGTCAGAAACAACGAATATATATTCCCATTGGTCTGTTGACGTGTTCTGATGGACGCTAGTCACGGAACATAAGGAAAATTTCGGCAGAAGCTAACATTTAGTCGATACTTTCAGTAATTGGAAATTAAAAAATGACTTTTACTTTACAGATTAGATGTTTTCTAACCAGTGGCATGAGCACAAAAGTATGAAACTCAGTTTGGATGTCGAGCCAGTTTGATGTCCTTAAAGCACTATACAAAGAAATCAGTGGATCGGAAATCAGGCGAAGCCAACCGCCTGAGGAATGGTTTGCCCTTAATTTGATTGCGGCTGCAAATAACGCTTTGGTTGACACTATATGAGTTTGAGGACCATTCCAATCAGAGTTGACGCTAATCACTGAGTGCGAGCAGACTACTACCTGTCGAGAAAACACGGTGGACTGAGGTATTGAGCCTTGGATAAAAGCGTACATCTTTGATATTGACAACTGACAACTGACACCTGTCAAAACAAGGTATCCGCTCACTAGCTAGTACCCCAAAAAGTAAATATTCTTAACAATGAAGCAAGGCTGATTACTACGTAGAAAGCTTCATTGTATTTAAACATATTCTTGTAGCTCGATCAGTGCAATATAATTCCTTCTGAACTCCGAATCAAGTTGAAATTTCGTGTGTCCGCACTTTAACTAGTCTCCTCCGCAGCCGTTTTTTGGGATGCCACGTAACGCTCCCCCCAATTTAACAAATTGACGTCAGCTTTTTTATACGTCTGTCCTCTTATTGATGATAAATTGCGTCATAACATTGTCAAAGTGGATGTGGAACCACGAGCCGCAGGCGAGTGGTTCCGCAGTAAACTCTGACAATGTAGTGACGAAGTTACGTAAGACTCCGTTCGATCAAGTGGTGAGAATTTTTAATAAGGCTTTGTTTAAGAATTTTTACTTTAAAGATTTCGCTGCAATTTAGCTTATCAGTAAGCCAATATGATAAACTTTTTCAACATATTTGTCCTATGCAATGTACTTGTCTTCTTAAAAACTCATTCAGCCAACAATCTCTCAGCGTAGTCCTCAACAGCACTGGTTGTCCTACTTAATTCACCATCCTCTGTCCATTTTGGTTTGCTTTATAGTTCTAATTAGAGGCGGGCAACGAAGACTATATAAACAACAAAAACTTAGGCGATGAAGAGAACACAACTATACGTCATATTGCAATTTTATTAGGTCATGTATCCTTTGGACCATTGTGTCGCTCGTACACAAATCGATTGGTTACAGAAGTCTAACTAAAGATTTGATTTTCATGGAGTTCTATTGGTATTGGTTCCAAAACAAGAAAAAAAAACTACGTGACATAGCAGTAGAACCTGCTAATCTCAAGTAAAACACTAAGAGAGCTTCGAACACTACTCAAAACGTTCGCCGAGAATACTCAATGCTTCTAAGCGTATAAATGCTACTACACAGTATTGTTAATAAAATGTTGCTACTAATGCTTTTAGCTGGTTCCATTAACTTAATTTTTGCAGTGTTCTGCACATTTTTCCTCGCCTATTTCTAATCAGATGTAAAAATCACTTCGGTCCTTTTTCAGTTTTAGTCCGTTGCCTTTCCTTCACTGTTTGGTGTTTAGGAAGGTCTCCTTGGAATCATCCAGGGCTTCAATCCAGGTAGTGTGATGAATTGGTGACTTGGATCCCGTGAATTTGCTTGCGTAGCTTTGATCTCGGTATGTAAGGATGTTATCTCGCTTGTGTTTTTCCCAAACGTGGAATTCTTCAGCGGTGTCCAGGTCGTAGCCATAATTCGCCTCCTTGGCGATATCGACTAGGTAGTCAGTCTGGAAGTCGATCTCATCGTCACAGCCTTTTAGTTCGTTCATTCTGTAACGACAAATAATAAGCAACGTTGAAAACATAGTAAACAAACAAAGCACGGTGTAAAATATAAGCGTCATATAGGAAAGAAATGTAAGTGCCGGCGCTTATTAGAGACCGCGCCCAGGCTCAAAAACAATAAAAAAAAACCCAGGCTACGATTGGGTTACGCTTAGCATTCTGACATGCTACAGTAACCATTTTTATACTCCATTAATATTTTCGCTCGCACGCGATTGGTCTAAGCGCGCCAAGTGACTGTATATGCCCTAGTTAAAATTGGGGAGACCGATATTTGTCCTTGGACATTATCTGTTCCTCGAAACTTACAGTTTTCCTCGGGCTATGCTCTCGGAAAAGTGTTCTTTTCTCGGAATAGATGATGCCCGCGGACAAATAGCATATTTTCGCGCCACTGAAATGGAGGCTATTATTTATATATATTCCTATGTGGAAAGAGTTGATTAAGCGCCTAGCCCAAGAACACTACTCTGTCTGAAATATTTGATTCCTTCGTTTCAGTGGCATGTCTGTACACTAGCTAAGCTTAGTGCTTGTATAGCTAAGTGTATGACCACTATAAATAAGTTTTACATTTTTCTACATTTTGTCCGAGGCTTAAACCTTTCAAATCGGAGGCCAACGAGCTCACAACAGCCCTGTTACTATTGAGTCATGTTTCCGATTAACAAAAGTACCCCCAAATCGACGATTGCCAAACTTGTGGTAACTTTGAGAAATCCTTACCTTGCAATCCACTTCTTGCAATCCTTTTCAATGGCTTCGTTGTCAGGAAGTTTGAGTTCTCCAGTGACGTAGTTGACGGCCCACTTGGCTTGTGCGTCAAACATGGTGTAGGTGTAGTACTGGTCCTGCATTCCAATGTACAACAGTTTGTTGTTTCCAGCCTGGGTCCAGAGGATGCTCTTGTAGAGTCCTGCAGGGTACAGAATATTGGCAGACTTCAGCCGCAGTCTTTCCTCGAGGAAGGGAAAATAGAAGAGGTACCCTGTGCATAGAATGATGGCATCCACGTCATCTTTGCTGCCGTCTTTGAAATGGACGGTGCTGCCCTCAATCTTAGTCAGCAATGGTTTCTCTGTGATCTGCGGGGGCCACTTGAAGCCCATTGGTCTCGTCTTGTAGCTGACGACGATCTTCTTAGCGCCATACTTTAGGGTTTGCAGAGCGATGTCCTCCGCGGAATAGCTGGAGCCAACCACCAACAGTGTCTGATCCTTGAACTGAGAGGCATTTCGGAAGTCATGCGAGTGCATGATGCGCCCAGGGAATTGGTCTATACCAGGAAACGAAGGTACATTCGGCACAGAAAAGTGCCCCGTCGCCACAATGACATAGTCAAACCTCTCCACAGGAAGGTCTTTGTTCTCTTCAAGGTTTTTCGCAACTACTGAAAAGTCGTCGGTGGAATCGTTGTAGGTCACTTGGCGGACAACATGGTTGAAGCGAATCCAAGGACGAAGATCACTTCTGGACCAACGACCTGAGAACGAGAATCGCAGTTAAAATCTGTAACTGCTAACATATAACATAACTCACTAACAGACTTTAAGTTCCTGGCCGTCTTCCCATTGGCTCAAATGGAAACATGGTTCTAGTCAATCACTCGATCAATACTTTGCTCGAGAGACGTTTGCCCAGAATATACGTGCGAAAACTCCATGGGCACTAGATTCAACCTAAATTTCCGAAAATTTAGAAACAGGGACAAATGAGACGGACCAGTTTTCCAAAATACCAAAAGTTTTCAAGTCAAATCAATATATTTTGAACCTCTTGTACGCGACTACCTCTCGTACGCGACCGCGACCACTTTTAGAGCTAAAAGTTTGAAATTTTCTTTTTTTTTTTAACCTCCCGTGAGCGACCACTTGAGAGCGTAAATTGGAAAAAAAGTGTTGTAGCATTATCGCATTCCTGGGTAGTACAAGAGACGGAAATTGTTTCAATGGGAAGCACCGGATGTTTTCGAAATTGACTTTTCACATGAATAAAGCATTTAAAACATGTCTCTTCAGTTACCATATGCTAACGAGGCAAAATTTTGACCCAATATGGTCTAAACTCTCGTAAGCGACCACTTCTTGTAAGCGACTACCTAGGCTTGACATTTTGGGTGGTCGCTTACGGGAGGTTCGACTGTATATCATATATAATATGAACTACAAGATAACTAACTGCAATCGAGGTCATACTCTAGCTAAACTTTCATCAAAGCAAGTCTCGCCCATAACGAACATACCTTGAAGATAATCATACAGAACCTCCCTGGGAGGGTAAGATGGTATTGCCTTTTTGTAATGATCTTCAAAAGTGTAGTCTGGATATTCTAAACATTCTTTGGGGCCATTAGACCACAAGCCGCGGTACATACTGCCGTGCACATATTCACCATGTTGATCGATACCTAAAAAAGCAAGGGTAGTCATGATTTAATTCATTAAAAAAAAACACAAGGTACACAGTTGCCTGTCTGGACCTGTCTGATTTGCCTCTTACCTTGCCTGCCTCTTACCTTGTGCCTCTTACCTTGTGTTTGAAAATGGTCCCTTAGTGACAGTTCTCAGAATTAGCCTGCATGGCAAGCGTTCCTGTACGAACGAAGAGCTTTTAATTTTCCACATTTTGGCCGCGCGAACATTGAAGCGAGAGCATGGAAATCGACATAGCAGGGCGTGGTCTGACGACCTACCAACCCCGATGTTCTTCTCTCACCCAATTTTTGCCACGGAACGCTTGCTTCGCAGGTTATCTCAGAATTTTAAAAGTTACTGAGTAAATGAAACGTTTTACGTGTCTAGTCCTAAATATACAGCAGAATTTTAGAGTGATTGAAACACGAAAACTGAAAAAAAGAAAATACTCACCAGTCTCCCAGGAGTATTTCCAGAGTCCTCCCCAGTCAGATTGCTTGTCAAAGCACACGATTTCTGGTACTTCTTTTCCTTGCGCTTTAAGTTGATGAAAGTGATATAACACTGACATGCCACTTGCACCAGCGCCAATCACACAAACACGCTTTGCAGTTGCTTGAGACATCTTGGATTTTAGAAGTGTTCACCTGGATGAAAGAAAAACAAAACATAATTGCACATGCCTTGACATTTCCATGGCAACCATGTTTTGACAGGTTGGTCTCTTTTGGATTCGATTTTTCTTAATTTAACTTAACGTCTTTACGGCTGAGGCGTTCTCATATTGAGAGGCAGGGTAGCCGATTGGTTAGGACGCCTGAGTTGAAATCCGAAGGTCTCGGGTTCAAGTCCCGCTCTGACCATTAGGATGGAGTTTCCTCTGTAAACCCTGAAAATGTTTATATTGGTCAATGCGCTTAGCTACACCTGGCTAGTTCAAAAACAATTTTCACAATCAACACAATCAAGTGCAATATTACGGAATTCAATATTGTTGTGATGTGATATTCTCTCTTCGTACTGTATCGTTCTCTGTCCCCTTGTGCGACAAGTTCTTTTCACAACACGGCGACACGACCAGCAGTTAACTCTAAGGTCAGATATTACCCATCTGACACTCGAATCAAACTTTTGTGATTACGAAATCGATTGCCATAAGTTATTAACAAGCTTAGATTTGAGTGCCCCTCACAGAAAGCTCGTGTGTTATTAGTAATACAAATATTTCACAATCTTAATATCTTGGTCAATCACATTAGTTTGACCCTTTTCACCCAAATTTTTGTCACAGTGCCAAACGACACTAACACAAAGACGCGAAACTTCAAATCAAGATCTGCGCCTCCGGCACTCGTAGAATGTAATTTTGATTTCAACAGAGGGTAGACTTCGCACAAGGCCTGCTAAGCGTGTTCCTTTTCACAGGGCATTTTCAGTTGAAACAAAGATTCAAGATAAATGTGGCTGAGGAAACAGTAATTCAAACCTGCAGTATAAGGCGTTTATCTGATCTTTACGAGCACCTGCATTTTCCTCGGTCTCCACAAAGAGTAACTATATTGTTTTAAGACTGGGGCACTCTTTTGAACTGTCATCTATTGTTTTAAAAGGCAATGGTATGAACTGGTGAACGGATTAATTGACTTCCACAAAGCCAAGCGTTAGAGTAACATCAGGGTTCACAACCCTATTGCTGTAAAACGTTTGATCGCAATTGCAGATTTATTTGTGACTTATAGGGACAACTTTTACACACGTATACCGATGAATTGTGCCAGAAATTATGGAGCTGAATACAAAAAAAAAATGTGAAAGAAGGCTTAGCCGTAAAGTGGGGCTGTGGTTGAGAAATTCTCACGCTGTACGGTTTTGCCTCGATTGAATACTTTTAAAAGTTATAACTCAAACCCGGAACTTAAACAAAATTTATTTCATGTTCGACAAATTTCGAGAAAAGAAGAATGTACATGCCACAAGCCAAATCAGACAAAAAACCTTTGTAATTCCGTGCGTTTTTACAGCGAATTGATATTTATCTCAGTGAGTCATATTACCGAAATCAACTCTTGCTTACAAGTTGACACTCCAATGCAAAGGTGATTAAAGAGATGTTCGCGTAGAGGAAAAAAATCGCTGTTTCAGGCAAATATCTCACTATTCTTAGAGGCAATTAATAAGCTTTGAATGAATTCGATTACGAGTTCAGGGTAAATCCAATATTTTCAGGATCGACCGGCAGTTACATCTTGTAAACTGTAGACAGCAATGAAGATCAACCTCTAATTGACCTCACAATTTTTTGTCACGATGAATCCACAACATGGCACTTTTATTTCCAGATTTTCGGCTACCTTTACAGCTGCAAATCGATATCCTGAAATGGTGCGCTTTTTGGGCAACCATTTTGTCTTTTGGCTGGGAAAACTTCTCTTTTAATTTTGCCAATTCTGACAATGATGTGAATTGGAACTTCAATTGGTGTGTCACGTTTAACAACATTAGGCACCTGTTTCTTAGCGGCTTGCATAGTCTCTAGCGTAATGTTACTCTTGCTATCGAGGTGGGAATTGCGCAGTTTCCATGCAAACAAATTTCCCGCCAACATGGAACTAAATGAAGAGGTACTAAGAATCCTTCGATTCCTCCTAAACCGGTGGATACCATGCGTGCAAGCACACCTTAAGTCTTACGCAATAATGGCAAATTACGATTTCGGTTGAGGCATTGATCAGTTTTAGGATATATGCCATCTTAATATCACCTTCTCTTGACTGACCGGACCGGAAATAGTTTCCTTTGGTGACTGAAATGCACAGATCTTCGTTTCAAACTGCATACCAGCATGCACGCACAGAGAGGGGCCGATTGATCTGAATACTGAACTTAATGTGAGCACAATATGACGGGACACAGACTGCATTCATTGGCTCACGAACGAATATGAATGGAGATTCATGCAGGCATCTTGTTATTGGATAGCTAAACAATTGAATAACTGTACTTCGAGCTACCATTCTGGGTTGCATTTTGCACTGTAGGCTAGCGAGGCATTGTGCAGCTATGCAGCTGCAAGTTGAATTAATCCAGGGGGCCTTCAGGTGAAAAACCTGAAGCTACAGACCTACCTCTTGCAGCGCACGAGGATGGTAAAAAATTTGCTAACTAAGATGTATGGAATAAAGCTCAACTCACGGGGCTCAGAGAAGTCCAGTTTAACTGCACGCGTTCAATTCCTACCGCAGAGCACGAGCTTGTTGCCGAAAAGGATGTTATTTGATCCGTGTACCCCTACAATGAAATCCCATCCATGGGTGAACTCAAGACTACAAAGCGGGGGGAGGGGGAGTTCGGTGACTAAGTAAGAGTGATGAGGTCTCTGTGAATCGGAGGTTTTTTTTAATAATGTGAAATTGTCTGTTCTTTTACCTTATTTGAGTAGGGTTTAATCACAGCTTCATTTGTACCTCTCCGCCTTTGAAAATCTCTTTCCCCACCCCCTCCCCCCACCCCTCGGGCACAGCGAATTGATACTTCGATTTCGTGATCGCGCTTCTCCTTAACTGTCAGTCTACCTGTCCCGATCCCAGCTTGGAGGTTTCTCTGTGTATTTCGTAATCGGGTCAAACGTTATCTCACTCGAGAACAATAGTGATGTCTGACCTCTGAACTCGACTGTAATCTTCAAAGGTTCTATGGCGGCTTGTAGGCTATTTTTGGTCGAACAATCTCTGTAGCATAGCTCGATAACCAAAAACTGAATCAACTGCAAACTTTCGTGTTGTTTTAACTTTCTGTGACAATACGCTGCGAGATTGCAATCAAACATTTTTATTAGCTTATCTGCGTTTC